CTGATGTGGTGAGGAGGTCAGGAGGCTCCTGAACCCACCCATATGCCTGCTTGCAAAGACTACTATTTGGTCTGGAGAGCTCATTAGATTACATCTGTCTGTTCAACCCTAATTTTGAATCAGATCTTGGGATAAATTATGTTAAAATGGCATAAGAGAAGCAAAAGATAGGAGGTGTCTGGGAAGGAGTTTGACCACCACGAATCCTTAAAAATCCCAGGATTTTTTTTTTTAAGATTTTATTTATTCATGAGAGAGAAAGGCAGAGACACAGGCAGAAGGAGAAGCAGGCTCCATTCAGGGAGCCTGATGTGGGACTTGATCCCGGGTCTCCAGGATCACGCCCTGGGCCAAAGGCAGGCGCTAAACCGCTGAGCCACCCAGGGATCCCCGAAATCCCGGGATTTCTAAGCCATGCCAGACTCCTTTATCTGCACTGCTATTGTATTAGTACGTAGTTCCAAGTGACTTAATTCTTATGTTCTCTAAGCTGTTTTATCAGCAGGAAGCATGTGTTGTGTTGCCTTCTCTCTCTCTCTGTCCAGGGAATGATACGTTTTATTTTTTTTTTAATTTTTATTTATTTATGATAGGCACACAGTGAGAGAGAGAGGAAGAGACATAGGCAGAGGGTGAAGCAGGCTCCATGCACCGGGAGCCCGACGGGGGATTCGATCCCGGGTCTCCAGGATCGCGCCCTGGGCCAAAGGCAGGCGCTAAACCACTGCGCCACCCAGGGATCCCGAATGATACGTTTTAAGCACTACTCAGGAAATAGTTGATTTTGATGATGATAGCAAATATTTATGAAGCATTTACTATGTGTCAGGCATTGTTGTAAAGATCAAGTGGTGGGGGCAGCCCCAGTGGCACAGCGGTTTAGCACCGCCTGCAGCCCAGGGCGTGATCCTGGAGACCTTGGATCCAGTCCCGCGTCGGGCTCTCTGCATGGAGCCTGCTTCTCCCTCTGCCTGTGTCTCTGCCTCTCTCTCTGTGTGTCTCTATGAATAAATAAATAAAATCTTAAAAAAAAAAAAAAGATCAAGTGGTGGGGTATCTCTATTCTACAAACAGAACCCAATCTCACTTTAATTTATCAGGTGACTTTGGGTACATAGTAAAGCCAACCTTGGAGCTCAAGGCTTTGTGATGCCAAAGTCTATGCTATCAATCACAACGTTCTATCTTTCAGTGTTACCTTCCACTGATATTTAGGATATTAAGTCAGAAGACTAGAGCCCTGAAGATCACAGGGTGAAGTCAGGACTGAGGGAAGGAGGGCAGTATTAAGTTATTTCCTGTTTTCCCTCTGCAGGCTGGTTTACCATGACCTCTTCCGAGACCCCTTCAACTGGTCACAGGCTGGAGAAGCCCTTCCAGGGGGACCCCTGGGAGCCTTGCGAGCCCTGTGCAGAAGGACAGAGCCTGGTCCTGTCACCATTGCTCTCGATTCACTAAGCTGGCTGCTGCTGCACCTCCCCTGTACCACCCTCTGCCAAGCCCTGTGTACCTTGAGCCAGCAGCATTCCCCCCTTGGTGAGACTCCCCTTCGTTCTTCTTATATGTCTTTCTCTGCCAAGGAACAAGCCCTTTTCCATCCTAAGAAAAACCATATTAGAAATTTCCAGTTGGGCCTTATTCTATTTCTAATAATTGTTTTCATTCTAGACTGCCACGATTGCCATCTACTGATGACTTAATTTTTTCGCGAAGTTCTTTCTTACTCATTGGTTTCGTTCACTGAACAGATATGATATCGTGTAATATGTCAGGTACAATAGTAGACGATAGGAAGATAAAGGCTAAGTGTAGTCAGATTCCCACTCAAAGTTCCATAAAGGATATAGACAGGTAAATAAGCAATTACTAGATAGTCTGATAGCAGCCATGACGATAGAGGAACAGGCAGTATGTTTTGAGGAAAGACGTGTCCTTAAGAACAAGCAGTTGGCTAGGCAAATTTGGCCAGGCCAGGGGCCCTGGCACTAGCCTGAAGTATCCTGTGGGTTCTGCAGTGGACTTTGGAGCCGGACACCCCGCTTGGTGTTAAGTTGTTTTATATCTCAGTGTTTGAGTTTGCTCTATAAAAGGATGGGGGGGGGGTGTAAATTGATAGCAGTTCCAGATGGTTCATCCTAATACTGTTTCTGCAGGTCAGATAGGGACAGACGTCAAGTGGTAGCAATTTCACGTGGTTCAGCCTAAAAATGCTGGCCCTCATAAGGATTAAAATGTGAAAGTATCTGGTACAGTGTGTTGACACGTGGTAGATGCGCCCAGAAAGGGAGGGAGCCAAAGGATCCCCTGGGGAGTGGATCCAACTGGGATCCTAGTGTATAGTTCCAAAGCCTGCAAGTAGCTCTGCGCATCAGAGATGAGGCAGAGATCAGAGGGGGAAGGTGTTCACCGCATTCTGAAGGCCGTGAGGAAGAGGCTGCTGGGACTGAGGTCAGCATGGGCCGTGATCATATTGGCCCTGGTGAGGTAAGGGCTGAAGGGGTGAGGTGAGACTAGCCCAGGGGAGGCAGGACTGGCAGAGGTGCCATGGAAGGTGGGCCTCACCTCGTGTGCTCCTGCCTTACTGTGGGATTCCAGGCCACTGTCCTACAGGTTCCCCACTGCCCTTCGCGCCCTACCCTTCTGCCCCTCCAGGTGGCAGCCCCCCCGTGGAGCCTGTCCGTGTGCTAGGCCTGCTACACATGGAGCTTCATGGCCCAGGCCCCATGGGAGCATTGAGCAGCCTGGCCCAGACTGAAGTGACCCTGAGTGGGACAGCAGGCCAGGCCTTGGCCCACATCCTCTGTCAGAGGCCCCGCCAACACCCAACCCACCAGGTCAGGAGAACCCCAGGCGAGCACTGGAGGTTGGGGTCACCCACAAGGGGCGTTCGGATGGGAAAAGCAGTAAGAGCTGACATGATGGAGTACTTCCTGCGTTCATTGTTTTGTCATTTTCCTCATTCAATCTTCACAGCTACCCTGTCAGGTCGATTGTTTTATTATGCCCATTTAGCAGCTTGGGGGAAGGTTACCCAGAGCTCCAAAAAGTAACTAGTAGAGACGGGATTTGAAGTCAAGGTTGCCTGACTCGGATTCCATGAGCTTAACCAAGAAGAAGTGTCAGCTTCCAAGAAACGGCAAAAGAGGAAAGACTGGGAACAGTTCCTGGGGGAGGAGGAATGAGTCCCAGTGGAGTGGTTGGAAAGGAGGGCTGAGGAGGGAAGAGCAGGTGCCGTAAGCAGCCCATTACATAGAAGATCGGGGCCTGGGGCCATTAGATCCGAGTTCTCCCTTGTTTGGTTCATAGGGTGGAAAACACCTTTCTGTTAATACTCTTTTTTCTCCCCAGACTCAGTGTTTCTCCATCCTGCCTGACTTCAGCCTGGATCTCCAAGAGGGACCCCCGCTAGAGTCCCAGCCCCACCTAGATCCTCACATACCCCCGGTATCTAGGGGTACCAGGGCCAGAATAAGGGAATGAAGATGGAGGAATAAAACCTGCAGAGGTTGGGGGTGGTCAGGGATTCCAGCATTGAGGCAGAGTGGCAGCATCCTTTGTACCTACAGGTGGAGCCCACAACTCATTTGACCTTTAACCTTCACCTGTCCAAGAAAGAGAGAGAAGCCAAAGACAGCCTGACACTGCCCTTCCAGTTCAGCTCTGAAAAGTAAGGTTGGGGGCGCTACGCACCTGGGTTCTTGAGTAGAGCCCCACATGTGGGCTTGGGATGGGAGTGATAGCTAGTTATTGATTAACCTCCCAGACTTCATAGGGGCTGAAGTCCACCTCCAGAGACAAGTCTGGGGAGTGGTTCACTATCCACTCATACTACCAACAAGGCAAAGGGGCCTTTATGTCTTTTTTCTGTGCATTGGAGCCTCGGGTCACAGAGCAATCTGAGGCTGGCCAGCCCAGACCCCGGGGAAGTGGCCCTACAGATCTCTAGGCAAGAGTGCTGGGAGGACAGGAAGCTAGATGGGTGTGGCAAAGACAGGTTAATAATGACTTCAGTATATGCCTGCTGTTCTCTGCCCAGTGTGTGGGTGGGTGAAGCAAGAGTGGCAGGATCCTTGCCCTCAAGCTGCTAAGAATGTGAGGTGTCATTAGGAGAGCGGTATGAAAGTCTCTATCCCATACCAAATGGTGCTTTGGTACTAACTAAACGGGGAGGTTGGGGAAAGGGACTCGGAGCAAGAAAACCTGGAGGGCAAAGAGGAGGGAGTCAGTCACCTGGAAGAGTACACAGATGTGACCCATCACCCACCCTCACCAACACCAATTCTCCCCTTCTCTGTCCTCAGGCAGCAGGCTCTCCTGCGTCCTGGGCCAAGTCAGGCTACCAGCAACATCTTCTATGAGCCGGATGTGTATGATGACTTGGACCAAGAGGACCCAGATGATGACCTGGATGTTTGACTGGCGGGTTGGACTGGCCTAGAATTGGAGGGGAAAGACCTTGGACCCATAACCATCCTTTGGCTGTTTGCTTTGGCCTTGCCCTGTCCCTGCCCCCACCTTATTCCCTGGTGTGGGGGCCCTGCCCCATGACACATAAGTCAGAGTAGCTTCCCATCAGGACAAAAGGTGGGAGGGGGGTGTTAGGGGAAGGTGAAGAAAATGGGAACCCTCCCCACGTAATAAAATTTTTATTTTTCTACTGAAAAAGCAGCTTTGGTAGCTGTTCAAACAAGAATTGGGAGTGGAAGGGACTGAAGAATGGGAAGAGGTGAGGGAAGCCAAGCACCTCAGTCTTCTAGAGTCAGTGGGCAGTGTTGGGGCCTGAGTGACAAGGAACAGTGGCGCAGAGAGAACAGTACGTTTTAAGCGGAAGCCGGTACATTTAAAGGTTCCAGGTTCCCCGCAAAGATTTGGGGTGGAAGAAAGTAAAGGCCCTGACGGGGAAAAAAAAAGAAACGTACTTTCCAAAACATACTTTTTTTATTACTGTACAAAAAGCACATCCTCCCTTTTTTGTCTCCCCCACCCCCCCACCCTGGGAACTGTACATGGTGTGCGGGGTGATGAGGCGAGGCTCCAGTTCCATACCCCACCCATGGGCTGAGCTCTGCCCCAGGTCATTTCAGCACCTGGGCACACCAGAGGCTGCCAGGCTGGGGCTGGGGGGGTCCCAGCTCACACGTACTCCTTGGCAGAGTTGGGCTTAGGGTAGGAGCGGGGTGCATGGTACCCAGCTTTGCTCTCGCTCCCAGGACAGGAGCAAGAGAGCAGGGCACCTCCCAGAATGACCAGAGCAGACCCTGCCCAGCCAATGAAGATGGCAGGACCAAACTCGTACCTACGGAGAGAGGGGGTTGGGGTCAGAAATCCTGCCTTTCCAGACACCAGGAATGTAGACCTATGTCCCCTCAGGAGGCAGGACTCTCATACTTACTTAATATTCATGGGGACCAGGGGGTTGTAGAAGTCCGTGACAATCTGGTGGCCGTACCAGGAGCAGGCTACCAAGGCAGCAAGACCTGGAGATAGAGTGGTTCAGTGGTTCGGGTGTATTAGGTGACCCCAAACCAGCACCTGGAGCACCCTCGCTCCAGGACACAAGGGGAAGGCCGTTGAGCCCACCTGGGGCCTGTTGCTCACCTCCCACAATGAAAATGATGCCTCCGGTCATAGCTATTCGGGCCTTCTTCACTTTGTCGTCTCCCCCACAGTTGGTACACTTCATGCCCATCGTGGCCACAAACATGGCCAGGAAGCCCAGCACCAGGGACACCACCATCAGGGCACGGGTGGCCTGTAAGGCCGCTGCGGAGCAGGGGGAAGGACGCCCTCACTGCGGGAAGTGTGCTCGGCTCCCGCCTTCGGGTCGCCAGCCTGGAGCCCCTCCGGCCTGGGGCCCCTCCGGCGGCCTCGGACCGAGCGGGTGGATCCCGCCCCTCCCGGCTCCGCGGCCTTCCCGCCCCGCCCCGCCCTCTCCCGGCCAAGGAACCCGCCCGGGGCGCAAGGGTTTCGATGAAACTGCCCGAGGTTTGGGGGGGAAGGGGAGGACGGGCCCAGCGGAGGGAGCGGAGGCGGTAGCCAGAGACCCCCGCGGGCCACACGGTCTGGCCCGCGGCCCAGCGCTGACCCCGCTATCGTGGCCACCGGGTTTGTGGCTTCAGCTAATCGGCCGATAAGATTACAGGCCGCCGCCGGCGGCCCGTCTGATGGAGCGCACGGCCCCTCGCCGACCCTGCGGCCTCCGCCGCGCGCCACCTTTTGTCCGGGAGAAAAGGGCGGGAGGCGGAGGCCGCCACCTGCGCGGGGTGGCGGGTGGTGAGGGTCCAAGGGGCGCGCAGCTGGCCGGGGCGCAGTCCGACGAGCAGCCGCTGGAACCCGGGCCCGCGGCCCTCCCGCGCCCCTGCCCGCCGCGGCCGCTTCCGCTTCCTCCTCCCCACCCGCTCCCCAGCAACCCCGGGCGTTGGGCCCCGGCAGCCCGCACCCCGCACCCCGCCCCGGCTCGGCCGCCCCGTCGGCCCCGCGGCCTTACCCGACAGGGCCAGCACCGAGTCGTACATTTTGCAGCTCATCATGCCGGTGCTCTGCGTCACGCACTCCATCCACAGCCCCTTGTACATGGCCTGGGCCGTGATGATGTTGTCGCCCGCGTACGAGCTCATCTGCCATTGCGGGATGGCGGTGCTCGCCACCAGGCCCGCCCAGCCCACCAGGGCCAGGGCGAAGCCTAGCAGCTGCAGGCCCGAGTTGGCCATGTTCGCCCTCGGAAGAGGTTGGGGACGCCGGGTGGGCGACCCTGCGGTGAAACAAAGCAAATTTGGGGGGCGGCCCCACGGAAAGACAACTTGCGGCGGAGTCTTAAGTCACCCAAAGAGAAGGTTTGGGTCGGGTGATCCCAAATCTTTTTGTCACCCGGAGAAAATAAATCGATCCTTCCGGCGGGGCGAGGGTCTCAGCTCGAGGAAGAGGCTCCGCTCGAGGACCGGGGGTCCAAAGAGCGATCCGCGAAGGCCGGGCGGTCCCCTCCGGCGCTCTGGGCGACCCTACTCACACAAAAGGCAGTCGGGCAGTGTCCGCGCCGTCCTGGGGGCTGGAGGTCCCCAAAGTGCCCTGGGCGGGAGGCTGCTCAGCCGCGAACAGGCAGGTGCGGGCGGACAGGTGCGGCGCACCTGAGTATATGTAGGGCGTCAGGGGCGCGCCCCCGCGGGCACCGGGAGCGCGGGGCAGGCGGGACCGGAGGGGCGGCCGAGGGTGACCTGACGTCACCGAAGGGACACTCACCTGAGCCGGAAGTCCTGGCCTCCACCCCTCCGGGCCCAGGTGAAGAGGAAGAAACCTGAGCGCCAGGGTCACGCCCCTTCTCTGGCCCGGCTCGGGCCGCAGGTGGGGAGGAGGTGGAGGCTTCTTGGGAGTTCCACGCTCGAAGTCAGCCCCTCGAGACAGGACTTCCCTCGGGAGCCAGGGTGCCCCCTCCCCTCTCCCCAGCAGGTGAGCCTGGGTACTATGGAACCAGAGCTGTGGAGGGACGCTCTGGGCTCCTTGTCTCCTCCTACCCACCCCTCCCGCAGGGACTCTTGGTTTCTACTCGAGGTGTATTCCTGGCCCTGCCCTACTTTCACCCCCACCCTCTGCTCTTTTTTTACAGTTGGCTATCCCAACCGTCCCCAGCTTCAGGAGCCCCAGCTCCAATCCTCAGAACCCTGCTGCCTTCGGCACCCTCCTGGGAGTCTCCAGGCCCAGAGCCACCGCCCTGCGCCCGCTGCCAACCTCCTGCTGTGCTGCCCTCCTGCTGACATCCCACTCCCAGGCAGGGCGCCCCGATACCCTCATCTTCGTGGCTCTCCGAGTCAATCTCTATCCCTGACACAACTCTTGCCTGGGCCCTTTGCGCCCCACCCCCACCGGCGATCACTGTCCCCCCTGCCTCGAGGCTCCTTCCTAGCAAAAGGACAAAAACTCGGAGGCCAGAAGTTCAGCAGAGGGTGGGGAGCAGGGTAAGGCCTGGGTCAGATTCTTGGCCACACCTGTCATTCCCCTCCCTTGGAATCTTTCCAGAACCCATCCACTTTCTGGCTTCCCCCTCCCTCCAGCCCTACTACACATGTTTCCTTTTCCTTTGAGCCCGGACCTGACTGCGCGCTTCCCATCCTCTGGCGGCACTGTCTCCCTAACACCCAGCTCCCCGGTGGCCTTGGATGCGGCCCTCAGAACCCCAGGTGGCCCTTGGGCTTCTGTTCCCACGCTTCCCAGACTGTTGCCCCCACCGCCCTATGGACATCTCTACCGAGTGTCTCCAATCGCTCATCCCACCCTCGCCTCGTGTCATCTCCCCTGCCTGCCTTTCCTCCGTCCCATTCCGCACCCTTCTGAGTCGCCCTTGGAGCCCCTTCTCGGGAGCCCAGCCACACCACACCCCTGCCCCCTCGCCCAGAGCCCTCTGCACCCTCCTCTCCTCTGCTCCTACTCCTGGACTCACACCTTCCCATCTTCTTCTCCATTTCTCTTTCTCTTTACCTCCACTCTCTCCCATTTTCCATTTTTCTTCCCCCTTTGAAACATTTCTCCATAAGGCTCTCCTTTTATGCAGTAAAAATATTAAAGGGCCCCGGGACTGAGCTCATCTCCCTGCACTTCTACAAAACGCAGACTTCGATGAGTTCTTTGTTGTTCGTTTTTATTTTTCTACTTTTTTGATTAATGGTGAGTTGGGTTTTGTTAAGGTGCTTTCTGGCTCCAAAATGATATGTTTCTTGTTACCATCCTATATCCATTTGTCTCCAAGCTCACTGCCACTACCTCAGGCCCACCCACTGTCACCCCCTGCCTGCGCACCACAAGTGCCTCCAAACCAGCATCCCTGCTTCCCTGCTGGTCCTTCCAAAATCCATTATCCGGAAGGAAACGTGTGTGTGTGTGTGTGTGTGTGTGTGTGTGTGTGTGTGTGTGTGTGTGTTTCAAACTTAGGTCTTGCTACTTTCAGTTTAAAATCCTTAAAATCGGGGCACTCAGGTGGCTTGGTGGGTGAGTGTCTGCCTCCGACTCAGGGCGTGATCCCAGGGTCCTGGGATCAAGTCCTTCATCGGGCTCCCCGCAGGGAGCCTGCTTCTCCCTCTGCCTGTGTCTCTGCCTTTCTCTGTGTGTCTCTCATGAATAAATGAATCAAATCTTTAAAAAAAGAAATTTAAAATCCTTGAAATTGAAGTGGCCAGGTGGTTCAGTCGGTGAAGCATCTGCCTTCAGCTCAGGTCATGATCCCTGGGTCTTGGGATCGAGTTCCACGTGGGGCTCCCTGCTCAGCTGGTACTGCTCTTCCTACTTGTGCTTGCTTTCTCTCTCTCTCAAATAAATAAAAATCTTTTTTTTTTAATCCGTAAAATCTTCCAATGTCATGCCTCTGCTCCTCTTGCTCCATGGATTTGGCAAATAAAGGCCATATTGTGGCTTATCAGACCGGGCCTCAGCCCCACTGACCTTCTCTCCACTCCTGACATCTATTACTTTCACGCCCACCAAAGTACCCTTCACACACTCTGTTCCCTATGCCTGGATGCTCTTCTCTGTGCTCCTGACCTGCCTTCCTCTACCGGACTCATCCCTGAGGGATCAGCTCATATATCACTTCTCCTGGAAAGCCTGGCCTGATCACCCCGCCCCAGACTGAGTCATATCACCACTACTCCAGCTTTAACTTTCAAAATTCTTATCATATCACGGTTTCAGACTATTTACTCTGCGTGATTATTTATTCAATGTCAGTCTCCCACTGTTGATGTGTCTGGGTTTATCGCCAATAAATATTTGATGAACGAATGAAGAAAGAAAAAGTGAACAATATCTTCATTTACTTGCTCAGCAGATATTTTCCGTGTTCCTGGATAACGTACCAGACACCATGCTTGACGCCGAAACAGGAGAGATGAGGACACTGCACTCATGTCACTTAGATTCTAGAGGGAGGAAACAGACCACAGGGACAAAAAGAACATGGTGCATGTTTTAAAGGCAATAAGACGGGCAGTGTGATAAGGTTGGGTCCACTCTAGACATCAGGGAGAACTTCCCAGGAAGTCACCATAAAATAAGGAGCCAGCCGAGAGAAAAAACCATGTTGTAGGTAAAGGGAATGTCCAAGTGCTGGGATCCCATGTCGATTTAGCCTTTGCAACTTTGTAGTATTAATTTAAAGCAGGATCTCTCAACCCCAGTACCTTTGACATTTGGAGCCAGATAATTTTTTTTAATTTTTAAATAGGATTTTATTTATTTATTTATTTCAGAAAGAGAGAGAGAGAGCACACAAGCATGAGGTGGGGTGGAGCAGAGGGAGAAGCAGACACCCCCCTGACCAGGGAGCCCAATGTGGGGCTCAATCCCAGGACTCCAGGATCATGAGCTGAGGCATGAAGGCAGATGCTTAGCCAACTGAGCCACCCAGGTGCCCCAGGGGCAGATAATTCTTTGTTGTAGGTGACTGTCCTGTGCATTATAGGACATTTAGCAGCATCGTTGACTTGCACTGATGAGATGCCGTAGAACCCTCCTCTGTGCCCCAGTGTGACAATCCAAAATGGCTCCAGACACATTGCCAAATGTCCAAATGAAGGGACAGGCAAAATGGGTCCCAGTTAAGAGCCACTGAGTTAAAGTGTGACCAGTCAACATCACTGTGGTTGTTTTGCTCTAGTAGCTTCAGGTGAATGGTTGGGTTCAAGGAGCAAATAGATGGATGGGCGAACTTAACCAGGATTGGGATTTTGCTAAGAACAGAGAGAAATGATTTAATATATTTGCATGAGAATGTTTTATGTGTTAGATTGTGGATATAAATTGGGAAAGAAGGAAAGTAAGCCTAAAAAAAATAAAATTACCAATTGAGATAACCATATAATTTTCTTTTTTTTTAATTAAAGATTTTATTTATTCATGAGAGACAGAGAGAGACAGAGAGAGAGAGAGAGAGGCAGAGACATAGGCAGAGGGAGAAGCAGGCTCCATTCAGGGAACCTGATGTGGGGCTCGATCCTGGGACTCCAGGATCACACTGTGGGCCGAAGGCAGGCGCTAAACCGCTGAGCCACCCAGGGATCCCCTCAATTGGTAATTTTAAAAAGCGTTTGATAAGGTCCAACACCTACTGATGATAAGAACTTTTAGCAAACAAAGATTAGAAAGGAAATTTGTATACCTGATAAAGAAGTATTAGACTCATCTCTTTTATTTTTGGTAAAAGGACAAAGAAGGTCACTGTTATCCCTTTTGTTTGGACAAAGTCCCAGAGGTCTTGACCAATGCTACAGGGAAATAGGGATGCCTCGTGGGGCTCAGGGCGTGATCCCGGGGTCCTGGGATCAAGTCCGGCATCTGGCTCCCTGTGAGGAGCCCACTTCTCCCTCTGCCTGTGTCTCTGTGTCTCTCATGGCTAAATAAATAAATTCTTTTTAAAAAAAATAAATTTTTTTGAAAAGTTAAAAAAATTTTAAAAAATATCTCAATAGGGGATACCTGGGTGTCTCAGCAGCTTGGCGCCTGCCTTTGGCCCAGGGCGCAATCCTGGAATCCCTGGATAGAGTCCCAGATCGGGCTCCCTGCATGGAGCCTGCTTCTCCCTCCGCCTGTGTCTCTGCCTCTCTCTCTCTATCATAAATAAATAAAGAAATCTTTAAAATTCATATATATATATATATATATATATATATATATATATATATATATAGCGATAACTTTACCCTCAAATTTGTATGGAGCAGTAAAAGACCACAAATGGTAAATAACCATTGAAAAGAAAGAGTAACAAGAAAGGTCTTGGGCTTCCAGAAATTTAAACTTGCTACAAAGCATCATGAAAAATGACAACAATAACACTGTGTAGTATTCATGCAAGAAAGGAAGGATACACCAGTGGAACACAGTAGGAGTTCAGAGGTAGACACTTTATCAGAATTTGTGGTAAATGTGGCTCAATAAGAGAAAAATAAATTGGATCCCTAGCACACAAAACAAGGAAGCACTCTAGATGGATTTAAAAGACCCAAATACAGGCATGCCAAGCTGGCTCTGTTGGCAGAGTATGCAACTCTTCTTTTTTTTTTTTTTTTAAGAGAGATTTTATTTATTTATTCATGAGACACATAGAGAGAGGCAGAGACACAGGCAGAGAGAAGCAGGCTCCCTGTGGGGAGCCCGATGCAGGACTCAAACCCTGGACCCCGGGGTCACTACCTGAGCTGAAGGCAGATGTTCAACCACTGAGCCACCCAGGCA